AGTGAATTGGTTAGCAGTGCTGTGTACATTTGATAAACAAATATTTCACAATTTTATTTTCTTAACTAAAAAACAACATTTACAGTGCCCTTACAGAGGAAAAAAAGCAACTTAAATTGACACATAAAACATATTTACATAATGCGGGTGAATTAAAAGATTTTACAGTGTTAGTACAAAGACGTCTGTAAAGGATGATGACGATTTCACAGAAAATTGCCACTTAAATGCAGAGGATATCTCCAATACGGAAATCACAAGGCGCCGAGTTTGCTATTGCAGCACATTTCAAGTGTTTCAATATTTATCACAAACACAATCATACACCGATTGTTATCTGTTCTGCAACTGAAATCCAACTACATGCTGCAGGAAGAGACAGTTACACTACTTCCTTTTGGTTTACTACCCAATGCTGTTGTGAGACTATAGTAGCTTTTACTTATTAAACATATTAACTTTTATAACATAAAATGTACCCCTGTTTGGTGAGTGTTCTTACAGTTGTGCACTGCTGAATGAATGTAGGTGAAGAAATAAAGTACATGCTGAAATAACTGTTCAGGTTGTCCACTGAAATGACAATCAATAAAAAAAGAAACACCTTAAATCCCTTCTGCACATTCATACTTTCAGGATATAAATATCACCTTTCAATTTGTCCTTTGTGTGGTGACACTATAAAATTCTGCATGGCCATGGTTACCATTTGACCCCTATTGAAGCATTTAACTTGCAACAAGAGAGAAGCAATGCACAACTCCAACAGAAAAGCGTTGCTCCACAGGAAACCACAGCTACCTATCAGCAAGACAGAACCTAACCACTAGTTAAGTCAAAGAAACTGGACAGAGGTAATTACCGGTTCCTTATACTCCTGCACAGTACCATCGGCGCAATCTCAACAGGACATGGACACAGAATGATTGGGATCAATCTGATGGTTGTGTGGGTAGAATCATCGTTTGTGTGATGAGGGAAACACTTCCTGCTTGTTAGCAGATGGGATGAAGACGTGTTACACAGCGAGCTTAGCCAGCCAAACGTGCTAAGAACACAGCATCTCAGCTCTTCAGTCTTTTGAGAGTGAAGCAGTGTGAAGAGCAAAGCCAGCCATGTCTCCAGGGCTTTGCTTCAGATATAGAGAGAACCGTCAACGGGTCCTACATAGCCAACCCCTATTAGAAGGACGTCAATCAAAGTCCAAATGCCTAGGCCTCCAAAGCTGAACAGTTTGCCCAGACCTTCTCTCCACTGGCCCAGGTAAAACCGGTCCGCCCCAAAACCACCAAGTGTAATGCTATGGAAGAAACCAGAAAAAATAAGTTTCATCACATATCCTAATCAATAACGTGTCTTTACATTTCCATTATTTAAGCTTGTTGTAATGGTTTTAATATTACTGTCAGTTTTACCTGAGTGCTAACGCTGTTGACCATTTGTATCCACCAGTCCAGTTACAAAATAAACGTTTTGGAAAACGTCTTTTACCTAAAAAGAAGTGAAGACATAGTGAATGCTTTCATGCACAAACAAGCAAAATTTAAACAAGCTGACTAAAAATACAACAAACATTACATCAAAAATGTCATGTGGAAATTTAAATAAATCCTTGCCAATCAGCTGATCTTAATGCCAGCTCACATCCGCTGATGTGTTTCCACCCTGCTGATAATTCGCATATGGGGCTATCCTATTTAAGCAGCTTCAGCCTGCATACAAATGCTGCTGTGTCTGCAAGTAGCTTTGCAACCCACCCCAACCCCAGCTTCTTCACTTTATGGTGTTTCTGACTTAAATGTCTGCTGTCACAGATGTTTTATTCTGTGAAGAGGTCCTGCTCTGCTGCTCTACCTGCCTGTGGGGTTTCCACAAATGGCTGAGCAACCATAAGGGCTCTCTGGACAGAACCCAAACATAGCTCTACTGCAGATGAAATAACAATCATACTTTGACTAACACTGTCCTGACTGAATAGGAGTTTTCCTTTAATAGCAACCATGAATGAATACCAGTCGCTGCTCTAGACTGCATGACTTTAACTGATGACTTTATAGTGGATCCTTGATCATACCTAAGCAATGTACATGATCTAAGACATCACAGGTGGCATTGTAGCGCTTGCGTGGGCAAGAGACTGTCATACAGTTGGTGGAGTTTGTGCAGCGATACTGGGAAGGGTCCAGCTGCCAACAGAACTGACAGGTGATATTGAGAGAAAAATTGGTTTGCTGGTGTCCAGACTCTCCCTGTAAATACAAAGAAGAAAATAAATTTCACTACACAACAATTCCCAAATTAAAGCCTTACTAACCCTCTTAACAAACAGATAAAGATGGTACAGAATTACTACAGACAAGAATATTTGACAATATTACTCACTATGCAGTGAACGCCTTTTTTGGGTCTACAGGTAAATAAAGTTGGTTTGCCATATGTGCACTTGAGATGGTAATCGCATTGAATGCAATGAGCTGGCAGGCGGTGACACAAACCCCCACTAGGACATTTGGATGTGTCTTCATCTGCAGGAAACACTACAAAAAGTCCACCACAAAGTTGCATTATCTATTTTAAGACATTTTCAAGCATGAATAATACATTTTTTTATGCAAAGTAAGCAGGCTTTCATTAAATCTGGCTGCTGGTTGTGGCAACAGACTGTGACTTGTGATAACAGACTGTGGCGGCAAAATTAAAAATACTCCACTTTCAAAGAGGCAGGCCATTAAAGAGTCCTTGAGCAAAGCTATTTAGTCTTGATTGCTACATTATAGCTGCATGCTGGGCAGTAAAGGCAAACTGTTGCTGCTGTTGATGAAAAGCAATTAACTTAACAAATTCTGGTTGAGATCAAGACTTTACTTAATGATATGCAGGTTAACAAAGAAAAAAAACATGCAATACTTAGACAATGGAAATTAATTGTGTCTGAAGTAGGCAGTATTACTCTTATTTTGCACTATTTTATTCAGGTTCCCAGATAAAATGGACATTCTTAAATATATGTAAAAACCTACAGTTTACAATCTCATTACATACAGGAAATACAAATTTATAGTGATGCTCAAGCATGGGAAATAACCAACTTCAAATATGTCAAGTCCATCACAATTGTATTTCTCCAAGCTTGGTTGTTTTGTTTTGTTTTTTAAATCAGTGCTGCCATGTTACAGCACAACTCAGCACCCCCAAGTCTCATGCTGATTCCATTCTGTGTTCAGACTCAGAAATAATAATGTTGTATAGATGCTGAAAAAGTGTCTAGGTCTACCCTTCCCCCCCTTACAAATAAGACTGAATTAGGGAATTGATAAATAATCCTGATGTATGAGCAAAATCAATAGCAGCAGTGCTACAATGAAATCTTACCAATATCTTTAAGAAAATGTTACCTTTAAAATACATTTCAAATAATCCAGCATCAACCTGTGACAGGTGCGCCATGCTTTTTGCCCTAGAACAGCCCTAAGTCTCCAGCTTTTAGCCTTCATCCCTCTAAAGAAAGGGGTTTCAGTTCAATTCGTGAGGCATGATCTGAAAGTCCTGGTTAACAGGTTATTAATGGAAAACTGAGCTTGCTTACTGCTTAATAGAGCTGCATTTCTTTGTTGTTAAGTGCTAGAAAAAATATTAAACAGAACGTCCTCTTGATGTACAAGTCATATCTTGTCACATAACTTCTTTATACAAATGAATCCTCAATTTCTATTTGAACCAAGCGAGGACTTGTTTTTCTAGCTTCATTTTGGACTACTATTCAAAAACTCACACTCAAAGATTTAAATTTGGAGTTCAGGAAACTCTAATATCAACCGTTGTGAATGCGGCCCTTAGTCAATCTGTTTTTTAGTTTACAAACAGTAAACTAAAAACCACACAATATATAAATTCATTATTAATAAAAAAAAACCCCAAAACAGTTAAATAAATAACGTTACAGTCAGTATGTTTAATTTTGATTACTGACTGCAATATTTACCTGAGGATGCATCGGGGACCACCGGGCTAGTGATGAAAGGTCCATCTCTTGTGTAGTGGGTCTCAACATTAGTTGTGCTCAGGGAACCTGACAACAAAGCGGACAGGTCATATATGGTTGAACAGAAATTAGAAGTCTAAACACGCGTAAGCAGCTAGAGACACTGGTTTTTCTTTTAATAAAACATGCTAATTATTGCTTTACAATAATTTTAGGAAGATACTACACAGAAGCTACTCGCTGACATGTTGTCATGCTACAAATTAGCATAAACAATAAACTGTTGTCATAGCTTAACTTGCATACGACACAATTAACAAAATGTGTTTTTGTGTATTTGTAAAATAAATTTTGAATCCGTGTTGCTCACTACAGCCAATGTTTTCATTGCTACCTAGCTAAATAAACCAGTGTTATGCTAACTTGCTAGCTAACCACATCATGCTAATTCAGTTGGGGAAAGGTAACGACCAAAGCGAGACATATATGCGAACTGATCTATAAGTGTATTATTGTAAGCATACCGTTAACACACTGTAACATGAGGTCCATAAACAATACGGCGATAATTCCGTAGCTTTTAAGGCACCGTCCTCTGTCCGGTCTCCAAATCTGACAGACAGTAGCCATTGTTACCGCAGAGCTAAACCGAGCTGCATTCACGTCATGTAGGAAACTGGAGTGCAAATAGTCCTCAGATAGTTTCAAGCACGGAGATAGAGCAGTTTTTGTTTTGTTTTCTTTCTTTGTTTTAAATTAACAAAAATCACTAAAATAAAACCCCAAATAAGATCTGAAAATATTTTTCGTTTGAGGTCATTCTAATACAAATTAAAAGTTAGGCAATAGGGGAAAAAAAGACTAATAATAATAATAATAATAATAATAAGAAGAAGAAGAAGAAGAAGAAGAAGAAGAAGAAGAAGAATAGCCACTTTAATGTAAAAAAAAAAAGTAAAAAGAAAAAAGCAAAACTATTATCAGGTTCTTTGGTTATTTAGTTAAAGTTAAAGTTGAACATGCAACGGAAATCATATTAAATTTCATATATATATATATATATATATATATATAGTGTTTGATAGAGAACTGCATTAGTTTAATCCTTTGCCCATGACAAAATACATTGCGTATTAATGCCATTCCATAAATGCAGGACATTTTCTGCCAACCCGTGAATTTGAAAATCTTGAATAAGAATTTGAAAAAAGTCAGTCCTCTTTGAACTGTGTCAATGTGTCCAATTTAAGTGACCCTGTTATGTATATTACTAAAAGCAGACAAATTCATTTCAGGGTTTGCTGCCTTTTTTTATACATCTACATTTTATTATTCAAAAGTCTCTGGAATTACACTGCTAGTATCCTTTTCTAAGAAAATACAAATACTAGGACCGATTTGCAGTCCTGTTACCAAACGTATAAAACAAACATTAAAAACATAAAATATTATTAAACATCACATTTATATCATAATCTATAAAGAAATCCAGCCATTTTAACTTCAACCTTGTTACTGCATCATACCGATAAAAGAAAAACAAGCCTTGAAATAGTTACAGTAATCTTCAAAACTAACTGATCTTGTGACCTTAGTGTAAAACTAGAATAAAACTAAAGCTAAACAGAAATGTGAGATAAAAGTTTGAACCTTTCCCATTAAGATTGATGCAGCAAAAACCTTTCCCGTCTTCATCGTGCTACCCCTGGTGCATGTTTTAGCAACAACATTTTGGTCCATTTTGTTTTATAAATTCTTAACTTTTTATGGAAATCACCTTTCTGGCGAGTCTATCACATTGTTCTGCATGCTGCGAGTTGTTAGAAAACAGTGGGTAAAACCATGGGTAAAATAAATTTTACCACCTGACACTGTGGTATGTTCCTGATTTGTTATTACATGCTGTATGAGGAGCTGGCTCAGTCTTGCTTATTACGCAATAACAGCTGGAATTCCCATTATTGCCACCTATTAATCTTCAGGCTTCATTCCAAAGCAACAGCATGATCAATAGTTATTACTTTGGAACAAATAAACTGATGAAGCATAAAAAAGTAAAAGAAAATTAATAAAAATGTGAAGACTGTCTCTACAAAATAAACCTATTGTAGTTTGTCATGATATCAAACTCTACTTAAAGATTAACATCTTCTGTTGTGAAAATAAAGAAACAAAACACCCACATTTGGAGAATTTTTTTTTTATTATTATTATTCCTGAATTTCCAGGCAGAGGCAGATCTTGGTGAAAATAGATTAGTGTAAAATTCACACAACTTTCATGTCACTGTCTTCACGTCGTTTCCTTAAGTTATTGAGTAACTTTTCTACACTTAGATACACTTAGATTACCTTGACATAATTTCAAACCCACGCTACCTACAAACAGTTTTCCCCCGTTCACTGACAATCACAAGAGCACTGCAGAGTAGTTGTGCAGGCCCAGTCATTACATCCACTTACAGAGTATCAGTTTATTTTGTCTGCACTTTCCCAAAAACCATCTTGTGTCCCTTGTTGCTGTTTCATGTTTGACGTATTAAAATCCAAGCTGTCTGCCTAGATCAGAACTCCTCTTCTGCATTTTGACAGCGAGACTGTTTGAGCAGGGTCAGGCGTGCCATCACCTCGGACACCGCTAGTTCTCCGTGGACTTTGTTGTCCCTTGTGCGTACATTGACACTGTTAGTCATCTTCTCCTTCTCTCCAACCACTGCCAAGACACAAGACAACAACAACTTTACACGGGCCAAGTCTCACCACACACTCCCACTTTGCGTGCTGAATTTGTCAGCTGTTGGTGGTTAACCAGCTTGGAGGTCTGTTTGGCTTATAATCAGTCAATTAAGAATGTTTATTTTGATGACTTTGACAGATTTTCCTTTATTCTCTTCCTTCACTACATCCAAAAATCTTCTGTGACACACCTCTTTTCTCCTTCCTGTTAGCTCCATATTCAAACACCCTTTGATAATGTATCCACTATCCCTCCTCTGAGAATGTCCAAATCATCTTAACCTTCAATCTTTAACTTTCTTTCCAAACCGTTCAATTTGAGCTGTTCCTTTGTTGTACACATTTCTAATCTTGTCCATCCTGGTCACTCCCACTTGAAATCTTGACTCTACTGCCTCCAGCTTAACTTCCCATCTTTTTTTAGGGCCATCATCTCCAAACCACACAAAAAATGGCAGCTCTCACTAACATCTTGTAAACATATCCTTCCACAAATCACCCCTGACCCTCGACTCCCTCAACTCTGCCAGCACTTTCTTCTTCACTTGTATTATGTATTGTCCATTGCTTTGAATAGTTGACCCCAGATATTTAAACACATCCCCCTTCACTACCTCTACTTTCCTTGCATCTTTACTGTTACAAAGGTCAAACTCCTGCCTGACCTCATTTGATAAAATGTCCATCACCAATAACAACAAGAAGGGCCTCAGAGCTGATCCCTGATGTAATCCCACACTCAATCTTAAACACATCTGTCCTACTCCTACTGCACACCTCACCAAGGTCTCACTGTGCTCATACATGCCCTGCACCTCTCTCACATAAGTCTCTAGCACTTGAACAGTAAAGTTTCAGGTATTTTATTTGAATTCTTATCCATTAAGCAGGATCTGATCATCACAAATTCATTCTGAAGCAAGACTATGACCTCAAGCATACTGACAAAGAACCACTTTTCCTGACCAGAAGAACAATGAGTCCTGCAGCAGATGGCCTGGCCCCCACAGGGCTCAGAACCAACATTAGTGATTCAGTTTGGGAAAACATGAAGAGACAGAAGACACTGACACAGCCTAAATCCAAAGAACTGTGGAGAATTTAATTTGTACCGTGTTAAACTATGGACACATCGTTTTCACTCACTACAAATGTACAAGCATCCTCATTTACCCCTAATAGACCACACCTTTGTACAGTTTGCTACTTAATGATCTACCTTGGGGTTTTATTTTTCCTCACCAAGAATGAAGTTATATTGTGCCAGCTGAGCATTGCGGATTTTCTTGTTTAGAAGGCAGCTGGAGTCCAGGTCGGCATCTGCCATAAAACCAGCTTCTGTAAACTGCTTACACACCTGACATGTAGAAATTGTATTTGTTAATGTTCATTACATTTCAAGAACTTTCCATACTTATTGTCATTAACTACTGCATTACAAGTAAGAAATAATCAGAGACTAAGGCCACAATGGGGAAGTCATACCTTCTTTGCGTAATCCTCACAGGATGGGTTGACAGGCACTAACATCACCTGACGTGGAGAGAGCCACAGAGGCCTGGTGGAGGGTGAAACATGGGTATTACAACTTTCACATAGTGAACAGATAGAAACATGACAAGATCTGTTTCCTCAACAAAAAGGAGCTAAAATCATGATCTCAGGAGGTAAAAATCATGCCATAGTTGGAGAGCTGTTAGTGACAATACAGGTAGAATTTCATTGTAAGCCAAGATGCCTACAATAATTATAAAGACCAAAACATATTTCTAAATAAAAGACAGATCAAAGCAGTGGGTCATAATAGCACTGTATGTTAGTAGTTTTAGTAGGCCCATTGTGCTTATTGCCATCTCTATTTTGAACTCTGGTAAAATAGCTTTGCATAACTAAAATTGGGCTAAATTGGGCTTCATGAGAACCCCTTTAGATCATCATTTGCCTGAAACAAGCAGTTTTAGCTCCTTTGCCTCCTTTTTAGCCAGCTTTCTCCAGATTGGCCCAATCTCACAAATAGCTGGTTTGAACGTCAGGTAGGTGGGGCTTCTGGTCTTACAGCCAGATGTGTGCCTGGTATCACCACAGGGCAACTGAATGCTTGAAGACTGAACTGCTGGCTCACCAGGACTGCCATTTAAAATTTTAGCCTTGTTTAATATGAGCATCCACTATTGTGACAGAAAGTACCAAGAATAATGGGTGTTGAATACAAAAGTAACCAGAAAAACAACACATTACCATTTCCCTGCATAGTTCTCTGTCAGAATGGCAATCATCCTTTCCACTGAGCCTAAAATGGCACGATGGATAATGACTGGTCTGGATTTGTCATCCCCATCTTTTCTGTAATTGTAGCAAAAGAAACAAAAAAATAAAAACACTTATGTTAAATATGGTTGAATAAAAACATTTTATTGATGTATTGTTATATACACACTGACTTAGCAGCTCAAACTGGTTTTAATGTCAAGCACTTTATTATTAACCCTGCAATCATTCTCATACCTTCCCATTGTCTTTCCATAGACAATACTTTTCTGACACAGATGTCTATACAACTATAAACACCATTTATCCATGCACTGCCTGCTGTCTATTGCTACACAGCACGTGTATAATTT